ACAACAACCAAGCCAGGAGAAACAACAACCAAGGCAGGAGAAACAACAGTTGTCACATCAAAGCCCTCTGTTGTTACCACAACTACCAAAGCACCAGAAACTACAACTAAAGGAACAACAAAGGCTGGAGAGACAACCATATCAGAAGCAACAACAAAGATTGGTGAGACAACTAAACCACCAACAGTAACCACAACTGCTCCATCTACAGCTTCCACCACACCTGTTGTTGAAACAACAACCAAGCCAGGAGAAACAACAACCAAGCAGGAGAAACAACAGTTGTCACATCAAAGCCCTCTGTTGTCACCACAACTACCAAAGCACCAGAAACTACAACTAAAGGAACAACAAAGGCTGGAGAGACAACCATATCAGAAGCAACAACAAAGATTGGTGAGACAACTAAACCACCAACAGTAACCACAACTGCTCCATCTACAGCTTCCACCACACCTGTTGTTGAAACAACAACCAAGCCAGGAGAAACAACAACCAAACCAGAAGAAACAACAGTTGTCACATCAAAGCCCTCTGTTGTCACCACAACTACCAAAGCACCAGAAACTACAACTAAAGGAACAACAAAGGCTGGAGAGACAACCATATCAGAAGCAACACAAAGATTGGTGAGACAACTAAACCACCAACAGTAACCACAACTGCTCCATCTACAGCTTCCACCACACCTGTTGTTGAAACAACAACCAAGCCAGGAGAAACAACAACCAGCCAGAGAAACAACAGTTGTCACATCAAAGCCCTCTGTTGTCACCACAACTACCAAAGCACCAGAAACTACAACTAAAGGAACAACAAAGGCTGGAGAGACAACCATATCAGAAGCAACAACAAAGATTGGTGAGACAACTAAACCACCAACAGTAACCACAACTGCTCCATCTACAGCTTCCACCACACCTGTTGTTGAAACAACAACCAAGCCAGGAGAACAACAACCAAGGAGAAACAACAACCAGCCAGGAGAAACAACAGTTGTCACATCAAAGCCCTCTGTTGTCACCACAACTACCAAAGCACCAGAAACTACAACTAAAGGAACAACAAAGGCTGGAGAGACAACCATATCAGAAGCAACAACAAAGATTGGTGAGACAACTAAACCACCAACAGTAACCACAACTGCTCCATCTACAGCTTCCACCACACCTGTTGTTGAAACAACAACCAAGCCAGGAGAAACAACAACCAAGCCAGGAGAAACAACAGTTGTCACATCAAAGCCCTCTGTTGTCACCACAACTACCAAAGCACCAGAAACTACAACTAAAGGAACAACAAAGATTGGTGAGACAACTAAACCACCAACAGTAACCACAACTGCTCCATCTACAGCTTCCACCACACCTGTTGTTGAAACAACAACCAAGCCAGGAGAAACAACAACCAAGGCAGGAGAAACAACAGTTGTCACATCAAAGCCCTCTCTTGTTACCACAACTACCAAAGCACCAGAAACTACAACTAAAGGAACAACAAAGGCTGGAGAGACAACCATATCAGAAGCAACAACAAAGATTGGTGAGACAACTAAACCACCAACAGTAACCACAACTGCTCCATCTACAGCTTCCACCACACCTGTTGTTGAAACAACAACCAAGCCAGGAGAAACAACAACCAAGCAGGAGAAACAACAGTTGTCACGTCAAAGCCCTCTGTTGTCACCACAACTACCAAAGCACCAGAAACTACAACTAAAGGAACAACAAAGGCTGGAGAGACAACCATATCAGAAGCAACCACAAAGATTGGTGAGACAACTAAACCACCAACAGTAACCACAACTGCTCCATCTACAGCTTCCACCACACCTGTTGTTGAAACAACAACCAAGCCAGGAGAAACAACAACCAACCCAGAAGAAACAACAGTTGTCACATCAAAGCCCTCTGTTGTCACCACAACTACCAAAGCACCAGAAACTACAACTAAAGGAACAACAAAGGCTGGAGAGACAACCATATCAGAAGCAACACAAAGATTGGTGAGACAACTAAACCACCAACAGTAACCACAACTGCTCCATCTACAGCTTCCACCACACCTGTTGTTGAAACAACAACCAAGCCAGGAGAAACAACAACCAGCCAGAGAAACAACAGTTGTCACATCAAAGCCCTCTGTTGTCACCACAACTACCAAAGCACCAGAAACTACAACTAAAGGAACAACAAAGGCTGGAGAGACAACCATATCAGAAGCAACAACAAAGATTGGTGAGACAACTAAACCACCAACAGTAACCACAACTGCTCCATCTACAGCTTCCACCACACCTGTTGTTGAAACAACAACCAAGCCAGGAGAAACAACAACAACAGGAGAAACAACAACCAAGCCAGGAGAAACAACAGTTGTCACATCAAAGCCCTCTGTTGTCACCACAACTACCAAAGCACCAGAAACTACAACTAAAGGAACAACAAAGGCTGGAGAGACAACCATATCAGAAGCAACAACAAAGATTGGTGAGACAACTAAACCACCAACAGTAACCACAACTGCTCCATCTACAGCTTCCACCACACCTGTTGTTGAAACAACAACCAAGCCAGGAGAAACAACAACCAAGCCAGGAGAAACAACAGTTGTCACGTCAAAGCCCTCTGTTGTCACCACAACTACCAAAGCACCAGAAACTACAACTAAAGGAACAACAAAGGCTGGAGAGACAACCATATCAGAAGCAACAACAAAGATTGGTGAGACAACTAAACCACCAACAGTAACCACAACTGCTCCATCTACAGCTTCCACCACACCTGTTGTTGAAACAACAACCAAGCCAGAGCAACAGGAGAAACAACAACCAAGCCAGAGAACAACAGAAACAACAGTTGTCACATCAAAGCCCTCTGTTGTCACCACAACTACCAAAGCACCAGAAACTACAACTAAAGGAACAACAAAGGCTGGAGAGACAACCATATCAGAAGCAACAACAAAGATTGGTGAGACAACGAAACCACCAACAGTAACCACAACTGCTCCATCTACAGCTTCCACCACACCTGTTGTTGAAACAACAACCAAGCCAGGAGAAACAACAACCAAGCCAGGAGAAACAACAACCAAACCAGGAGAAACAACAGTTGTCACGTCAAAGCCCTCTGTTGTCACCACAACTACCAAAGCACCAGAAACTACAACTAAAGGAACAACAAAGGCTGGAGAGACAACCATATCAGAAGCAACCACAAAGATTGGTGAGACAACTAAACCACCAACAGTAACCACAACTGCTCCATCTACAGCTTCCACCACACCTGTTGTTGAAACAACAACCAAGCCAGGAGAAACAACAACCAAGCCAGGAGAAACAACAGTTGTCACGTCAAAGCCCTCTGTTGTCACCACAACTACCAAAGCACCAGAAACTACAACTAAAGGAACAACAAAGGCTGGAGAGACAACCATATCAGAAGCAACAACAAAGATTGGTGAGACAACTAAACCACCAACAGTAACCACAACTGCTCCATCTACAGCTTCCACCACACCTGTTGTTGAAACAACAACCAAGCCAGGAGAAACAACAACCAAGGCAGGAGAAACAACAACCAAGCCAGGAGAAACAACAGTTGTCACATCAAAGCCCTCTGTTGTCACCACAACTACCAAAGCACCAGAAACTACAACTAAAGGAACAACAAAGGCTGGAGAGACAACCATATCAGAAGCAACAACAAAGATTGGTGAGACAACTAAACCACCAACAGTAACCACAACTGCTCCATCTACAGCTTCCACCACACCTGTTGTTGAAACAACAACCAAGCCAGGAGAAACAACAACCAAGCCAGGAGAAACAACAGTTGTCACGTCAAAGCCCTCTGTTGTCACCACAACTACCAAAGCACCAGAAACTACAACTAAAGGAACAACAAAGGCTGGAGAGACAACCATATCAGAAGCAACAACAAAGATTGGTGAGACAACTAAACCACCAACAGTAACCACAACTGCTCCATCTACAGCTTCCACCACACCTGTTGTTGAAACAACAACCAAGCCAGGAGAAACAACAACCAAGGCAGGAGAAACAACAGTTGTCACGTCAAAGCCCTCTGTTGTCACCACAACTACCAAAGCACCAGAAACTACAACTAAAGGAACAACAAAGGCTGGAGAGACAACCATATCAGAAGCAACAACAAAGATTGGTGAGACAACTAAACCACCAACAGTAACCACAACTGCTCCATCTACAGCTTCCACCACACCTGTTGTTGAAACAACAACCAAGCCAGGAGAAACAACAACCAAGCCAGAAGAAACAACAGTTGTCACGTCAAAGCCCTCTGTTGTCACCACAACTACCAAAGCACCAGAAACTACAACTAAAGGAACAACAAAGGCTGGAGAGACAACCATATCAGAAGCAACCACAAAGATTGGTGAGACAACTAAACCACCAACAGTAACCACAACTGCTCCATCTACAGCTTCCACCACACCTGTTGTTGAAACAACAACCAAGCCAGGAGAAACAACAACCAAGCAGGAGAAACAACAGTTGTCACGTCAAAGCCCTCTGTTGTCACCACAACTACCAAAGCACCAGAAACTACAACTAAAGGAACAACAAAGGCTGGAGAGACAACCATATCAGAAGCAACACAAAGATTGGTGAGACAACTAAACCACCAACAGTAACCACAACTGCTCCATCTACAGCTTCCACCACACCTGTTGTTGAAACAACAACCAAGCCAGGAGAAACAACAACCAAGGCAGGAGAAACAACAGTTGTCACATCAAAGCCCTCTGTTGTCACCACAACTACCAAAGCACCAGAAACTACAACTAAAGGAACAACAAAGATTGGTGAGACAACTAAACCACCAACAGTAACCACAACTGCTCCATCTACAGCTTCCACCACACCTGTTGTTGAAACAACAACCAAGCCAGGAGAAACAACAACCAAGCCAGGAGAAACAACAGTTGTCACGTCAAAGCCCTCTGTTGTTACCACAACTACCAAAGCACCAGAAACTACAACTAAAGGAACAACAAAGGCTGGAGAGACAACCATGTCAGAAGCAACCACAAAGATTGTTGAGACAACTAAACCACCAACAGTAACATCAACTGCTCCAGTAACAACCACAATCCATCCTTTAAATACAACAACTGTTGGAGTAGTCACTGGACCACCAACAACAACAACAACTATAATTCCTCAACCTGTTGTAAACGCAACTACTGTGATTCCAACAGTAACTACAGCATCCACCTCTATAGTTACAACCACTATTGGCCCGATAACAAAGACTCTTCCAGGCACCACAACTGTTGCCACAACTTATTTGTCTTCTACTGAGAAAATTGTTACTACAATCCTGGCAACAACATCACTGCCTACCACCAGTACAACACCCTGTTACTGCATTTGGAATGGAACATCACACGAACCTGGTGAGTGACCCTTCATATTTCATTTTTTTATTTTAATCTTTTTGCTTGTAATTCAAGAAATCTTTTAATTCGTAGTTTGGATTTTGATTATTACATTTAATTTTCCTATCATGCTCTTCAAAGCTGGCCACCAAAACTTTTTAGTATTGACTACAAATAGGTTTAGAAACAAAGTTGGAACACCTGCCCATTGTGGTGACAGTTCAAAAGTCGAGGCTAGGCAGCACAACGGTCTTTAGTACACAAGAAACATCTGAAAAATCTCAGTGTTCACTTTTTTGGACGCAGGGTAGAAAATTACATGCGTCAAGTGAATTGGTTACCTTGAGTTTTTCTTTAGAATTCCGACTTGGTTTCAACAACGTTTACGAAGATGTCCTTCCACTGTAACTTTTATTTATTTGGATTGTTGACCCACTGAGCAGAGTGAGTACATTTCAGGAAACATCAACCCCTTGCTAAGGGTTACCTTGTCACTATCAGCTGGTCGTCTGCTGAAGAGCAATTAACATCCACTAACTTTCTGATGTGAACTGAATGCAAGCTACCGCTAGCAAACTTTCTGCCACAAGTTAGGCTCCGCCCACGAATCACATCAGCCCTATGTACAAACACCAAAGTGGTCTATAGTTAGGATTGTGAGTCAGAAGATAACAGGCTTGTACATAGTATCCTGATGCAATTAATCTTCAAATAATAATGAGTTACAGCACTAAAAAAACTGTATTAGTCATTGCTAAATGCACCCTGAAACAGCCCACTCACAAACTTTATATTACTTTATATGAAACAACTCATTTGACACATGACTTACGTGTCATAGGTACTGAGTAGTCTCTCCCTTTTTCATGAGCATTTCCAGTTTACCTATCAATAATGTCTTTGTGCACTTCACCCACCATTATAAATTATTACTTCATAACGAAGCCAATTTTAAGTGACAGCTTCCTGGGCTGCACATACCTATAATGATAGACTTGTATTAATGTATTACCATCCATGCAGTAAATTCACACCAGGTCTGTATTTGTAGTCAGTAATAGGTAGCCAAAAACATCAGTGCCCTATGTTATAAAAGCAAAACTGTCCTCTTCAATAATCTTTACACATTAGAGTCACTTTATGTTCTCAATTCAATTATTTTTTGCTCTGACGACTGTATTCATACCGTCTTTATTCACAGGAGATATGCTGTATAATGTCACCGACAGTGCAGGGTGGTGTTTTGTTGCATACTGCAATTCTTCTTGTAAAGTTGAGACACAGTCCAGTCCATGTCCTACACAACCACCAACAGGCACCACCACAGTCTCAGTCTCAGGAACCCCATCACAACCCAAGGACTGCATCTATATGAATCAAACAATGCAGGTATAAAAGAGATCAAAGTTGTTCATTATTTGTTAATTTGATTAAAAATTGCTTTAATGATTGTATATCAGGACCTGCTTGTGTTAAGGAAACAATAAAGGACCAAGAGTTTGGCCAAATTACTTTTCAAACTTGATGATTGTGTTAATAGACTCATTACATAATTCAATAGCTTGGTATGGTTTGCTGTTTTCTGATTGAAACAGTTTTTCAGTTGCTTGTTTTTTTATTGATCAAGTAGTGTACTATCTACAACCAAAGCTGCATTCCCAATGCATTAAAAAGAGATTACTGCTTCTGTCAGATGGTTTGAATTACATAAGAAATGCCTATATACACCAATTTCCAATGGATGTGGCCTTGGCCTGGAAGAGATGTCATCAGGTGTTGTCCAATTGGTGGGTTGGCACAGGTGGCAGAGCGTTGCCCATCTCCTCTTGGCTTCACACTTGTCTCTCCACTCTTATGCCAGAGTCCATAGAGACTCATTATGCTTCCCAAGCCTTTGGACAGCATTCTTCCTCTGTTGCCCTTTTATTCAGACTTATAGACCAGGTTCCACACTGGTTGAGTTGGGAATCCGTAACATCCCAAGTTACGTTGCTACGTCCTTGACAAGCTGTTGATATTTGGCTTTTTTTCTGATGCTCACAGCCCTTCTCCAGTGGGATTGTAGTTACACCAGGATAACTTTATTTTCCACCTGAGATCACAAGATGATGTTTTGTCACAGAGTTGTGGACAGAGTGTGACCTTGGTGACACTGATGTCTTTGGTGTGACAGAATTTTTTCCCAAGGTCTGCCTTCCCCAGATGGACTGCAGCAGACTTTGTCTAGCTTTGCCCTTTCAAACCATTGTCAGTGCCTTGTCATGGCACCAATAGGTGAGGTCCTATTCATCCATGTACCTTTTTCTCATATGATCCAACTCTCAAGAAGCACCCGTCATCTCTAACTCCGATGAAGAGGAGCACATTGGAGAAGTGCTGAATATTATTTACATGAGAAATATTGTTTTGTTTGCAGATACATTTTCCAAGGAATCAGGTGTAATGAATACAATGTAATTCAAAATTATCCAGATCTAGATAATTGTAGTTGGATGTGATATGTGGGCTTACAACACCATGTGAAAAATTGAGCTAAAGATTAACCTGACATGATGTTTTTTTAAACAGTGGCTACCCAAAAAAAAAATGAGCCAGTTGTCTACTTTTCACTAACATAAGACACTGAGGTTTAGTCTGTCTGTAGTCTCATTTATATCCCCGGAGTTATTCTCGATATATCTTATAATTTAATAAAATATTTACTAGGAAGGTCCAGTCAGCTTAGGTGGGTGAAGCGAAACTTGTTTTGGAGGAGTCTCCTTCCCTAAAATCTCTCATCCAGGTCTACAATCCCTCCAATCCCTGCCGCCCCAATACGCTGTCAATGAAGAATGCAATGTGAATGCTACATTTTTTCATGGTGCTCCCCAAACACTAAAACAACCTTATCTGTGGATTTCCTCCAGGATCATATGTATTGGTTGTGAGGATTAATTATTGCATCCATAATGTCAGCAGTTATCATTGCACACGAACCACTTCAACCTAAAGTTTCCAGTGGAGTAATACGTTATTCTTTAAAGAACTTATCCTGAAATTAAAATAATGACATGCAAATAAACCACAAAGAGCAATTTGGGGATATTTGGATTGAGATTACAGTATGCATCATTGCAAAATATTACTTTTCTTGAAGATATGAATGTTTCCTCCTACATGATTTTGTGCTTCTCAATCCTTACAGAATAAAGAAACTATGATGATTGACAACTGCACCATTGCTATCTGCGAAAATGGAACGACGGTAATAAAAAAACTTTATACCTGTCCACAAGAAGAACCACTCATCTGTACCAATGGACATAAAGCAGTTAAGGTCTATGATGAAAACACATGCTGCTACCACTATGAATGTGAATGTAAGTAGAAAATTGTAACGTTTGATCAGTTTTTCACTATTAATAGAATATCTTGTTTCATTGTGCTAGTACTCTAAGCAATGACATCCCCTCTGCAAAAGAAAAACCCTTTACACTGCAGCATTGTTTAAATACATCCTATGGTTTTATGAGTTAATCTGCCACAATATAAGACTGTTTGTTTTAGTTGTCCTTACACGGTGAGCTCTAGGACTGCTTCTTGGAAAGCCGTCTACACCATGGACTGTATTAAACGTGGTTGTAGTCTCAGTAATGTCATCCGTTGGTTGTTTAAGAGGCGTTTGGAAGTACTGTGTCAACCAAACTTTCAATCAACCAGTCAAACAGCCAAAGCTAAGGTGGGCTTAAACCTCCTAACAAATAGCTTCAACACCCCCACCTGTCAGTCTACTCAGCCACACCCTTAACTATGAATAACTCTTATCCTTCATAAACAGATGAGCTGTAAAACAGTTGCCTCCTGTGCAGTGTTTGCTGATAAATAAATCCACTTTTCAGACCAAATTCTTAAGTTGTTAACATGTTTATTTCTGATCACTAAATTGGCTTTTTTGAATGGGTGTGTGACTTCCTGTGCTTTTGCAGCTAGCCTAAAGAAGGCACTCGAGGAACTGCAGTTTTTTTACACAGAGCTTTGCCTACCCCATGGACTTCCTTAAAAAACAGGGTGTAGCCTCCTGTGTGTACGGTGAAGCGGATTCAGATGTTTCTTCTATCAGCATTATTTCCTCATAAGTTCATGGACTCGAACTTTGTTCAAATCCTTTTCAACAAAGAACAATGTTCATTTTGACATAATGATCCCATTTAGAGCAAGCTGTGATAAAGTAGAACTTGTTTTAGAGTAGGACACTTGTACAGTGTTCAGTTGTCGTGAAATATTCAGTACTAAAACAACTCGTCACAAACTAAAAATCAAGCAGCATTAAGATGTTGTTAATTTAGCCAATGGGCAACTGTAAACAACTGCAGTCCATCGAGTTTCCACTTGAGGACATCTTTAAAAGACCCGAAAACACCTGTATTAATTTTACAGCATGTTTACAGCCTGGTACAAAAGACAGTTTTGGTCTGAACAGTTCATGTCTTTATCAGCACACATACACAAGGGATTCTTTTTATCTGTCTGTCTGTCTGTCTGTCTGTCTGTCTGTCAATCTACTGAAGAAGTAATCATGTGTTGTTCGTTCCAGTTCTTACTAACTTAAAGTGTGTTTGTTCTTCTTCTCCTGCAGGTGTGTGCACTGTCTTGAATAAGGTGCAATACATCACATTTGATGGAAAAAGTTACTATTTCCAACAGTACTGCAATTTCTACCTGGTCAAAGAGATAACTGATAAATACAATCTGACCATCATGGTGGATAATCAAGTGTGTGATCCCATAGACAGCTCCTTCTGTCCCCAGGCTGTGGTTGTTTATTTCCAGTCTTACAAGATTGTTTTGACTAAGATAAAGGATGTAGGCAATGGGGTAAGTAACACTTGCAAAAAGATAGACGTGTAAATAAACTTCATGAATGATAATTAAATGTGGTGGGTTGTCTGTCAGAGTGCTGTGATCAGTTGGAGTTTAAAGTGTCTGTGTTTTGTCTTCCTGTGTCTACAGGTGTACTTGAATGACAAACGAATGTATCCTGCCTGGTCCAACTCTGAGCTGCTCTTCACTAGCACAGACGTAGCGGTCACTTTGGAAATACCTGCCATTAGGACTAAAGTGGACTATAGTTTAACGTCATTTAGCATTTACCTTCCAAACGATCTATTTGGTGGGAATACTGAGGGACAGTGTGGTGAGTAACCAGAACACACACACACACACACACACACACACACACACACACACACACACACACACACACACACACACACACACACACACACACACCACACACACACACACACACACACACACACGAACACACACACACATCGCTGTTTTTGTTTCTGAGGTCATATTTGGTCATCCACATTGGAAAACCATGGGCCTGTACTACGAGGCACTTTTGGTTATGGAGGTAACTTCAGGGTTAACTTGGGCTATTCAGTACTACGAATGTGGTTCACTTCACTTTTTAATGGGGTACATCACCATGGTAACCTTAACTGCTCTGGAGCAGGTAAAGTTCAGGGTTAGCGCTTAACCTTTATGAAGCTTTGCTCAGTGACTAATCAGATCTCTGGTTCACAGAGGTCTGTGAGCTGATTGTGAGGGCGTGGAGGTAGAGAGACTTCTTATAAACAATGTATGATCATAGGAGATGTTAATAATGATTTACAGTTATCATCCTACAACAGAGATGAATGCCAACTAACAGAAGGACTGATATTGTGCATAAGCATCATAAAACAACAGAGGTCATCCTCAGAGACTGGTCATGTATGAACTGCTGCCACTTCTCCTCATCCAGGGACCTGTGACAACTCACAGTTCAACGACTGCCGCTCTCCAAACGGCATCGTGGGAAACTGCTCAGCCAATGCAGGCCAGTGGGTGGTCCCAGGTGCACCCTGTGTAGTCCCCACACAACCCTCACCAATAACAACTACACCTGAGACCACAGCAGTCACAACACAGCTTCCCTGCAGACCGGCCATCTGTGACCTCCTGACCAGCAGGTGAGAGTTTGTTGCAACTCTCAAAAGAATCAAAATTACACAAAGGGCAGGTCAGGAAAAGCAGCTAAAGCAGTAAGATCAAAACATGATAGATAAGAAGACGATTACATCATGTCACAGGAAATAAAACTGAAAGCAGATCCTTAAATTTATAACAGCAACAAAGGATGGATTAGTAAAACATCAGAAGAATGATTAGAAGATGGATAAAATAATTTCAGTTTTAAAAAGCATCGACATCACAAATACTGATGTCATGCATCACGTCGTCTGAATGCAGAACTTTTTTGGAAACACTTTATCTGACAGAGTGCTCTTCTTTGTTTGTGTATCTTTTTAGTTTATTTGAGTCGTGCAACTCAGTCATATCCCCAGCAGTCTTCGTAGCATCCTGTCGGTCAGACATCTGCAACAGTGGAAATTTCACCTGCTCAAGCCTGGAGGCGTACGCTTCCGAGTGCTCCAACAAAGGAATCTGTATTGACTGGAGGAATGCCACCAATGGGCTGTGTGGTGAGATTTACCTTCTATAATGTCAAAAACTCGTTTTTGTGTGGAGGGTTTAAAAATGTAAATATAAATATTTATTCATTTTACAGAGCACAAGTGTCCAGACAACAAAGTGTACAAAGCCTGCGGCCCCGCTGTGGAGAAAACATGCAATTACAGGTAACTTTGTTTGGTGCTTTGTGTTTGTCTATATTTACATCGTTTAAACTTAAACCCTAACCCTAGCTACAACAAACTCTGATTTATCGTTAGAGTCCTCATGATAAAAACACCTTGACTCCTTTGAGGTGTCCATTGTCAGGGCTCATTTTATAATTGTTCATTAAATCAAGGGAAGGATTAGTCACATCTAGAGTTACCTTCATTTGACTAAGTAGTTCATCAGTCTTTAAAGGCAATGGGAGCATAAGTGATACTTTAAATAAATCTCTGTCACTGTTTTATAAATCTTCAGTGTGGAGGCTGTTTTATGTATCTTCAGTGTGGAGGCTGTTTTATGTATCTTCAGTGTGGAGGCTGTTTTATGTATCTTCAGTGTGGAGGCTGTTTTATGTATCTTCAGTGTGGAGGCTGTTTAATGTATATTTAGTGTGGAGGCTGTTTTATAAGTCTTTAGTGTGGAGGCTGTTTTATGTATCTTCAGTGTGGAGGCTGTTTAATGTATCTTCAGTGTGGAGGCTGTTTTATAAATCTTCAGTGTGGAGGCTGTTTTATGTATCTTCAGTGTGGAGGCTGTTTAATGTATCTTCAGTGTGGAGGCTGTTTTATGTATCTTCAGTGTGGAGGCTGTTTAATGTATCTTCAGTGTGGAGGCTGTTTTATGTATCTTCAGTGTGGAGGCTGTTTAATGTATCTTCAGTGTGGAGGCTGTTTTATGTATCTTCAGTGTGGAGGCTGTTTTATGTATCTTCAGTGTGGAGGCTGTTTTATAAATCTTTAGTGTGGAGGCTGTTTTATATATCTTTAGTGTGGAGGCTGTTTTATGTATCTTCAGTGTGGAGGCTGTTTTATGTATCTTTAGTGTGGAGCTGTTTTATATCTTCAGTGTGGAGGCTGTTTTATGTATCTTTAGTGTGGAGGCTGTTTTATTATCTTCAGTGTGGAGGCTGTTTTAGTATATTTAGTGTGGAGGCTGTTTTATAATCTTTAGTGTGGAGGCTGTTTTATATATCTTAGTGTGGAGGCTGTTTTTATGTATCTTCAGTGTGGAGGCTGTTTTATAAATCTTTAGTGTGGAGGCTGTTTTATATCTTTAGTGTGGAGGCTGTTTTATATCTTTAGTGTGGAGGCTGTTTTATTATCTTCAGTGTGGAGGCTGTTTTATGTATCTTCAGTGTGGAGGCTGTTTATGTCTTCAGTGTGGAGGCTGTTTTATGTATCTTTAGTGTGGAGGCTGTTTTATGTATATAGTGTGGAGGCTGTTTTATGTCTTCAGTGTGGAGGCTGTTTTATGTATCTTCAGTGTGGAGGCTGTTTTATATGTATCTTCAGTGTGGAGGCTGTTTTATATATCTTCAGTGTGGAGGCTGTTTTATGTATCTTCAGTGTGGAGGCTGTTTATGTATCTTCAGTGTGGAGGCTGTTTATATCTTTAGTGTGGAGGCTGTTTTATATATCTTCAGTGTGGAGGCTGTTTTATATCTTCAGTGTGGAGGCTGTTTTATATCTTTAGTGTGGAGGCTGTTTTATAATCTTTAGTGTGGAGGCTGTTTTATAATCTTTAGTGTGGAGGCTGTTTATAATCTTTGTGTGTGAGGCTGTTTTATATCTTAGTGTGGAGGCTGTTTTATATATCTTCAGTGTGGAGGCTGTTTTATGTATCTTTCAGTGTGGAGGCTGTTTTATATCTTCAGTGTGGAGGCTGTTTTATGTATCTTCAGTGTGGAGGCTGTTTTATATCTTCAGTGTGGAGGCTGTTTTATGTATCTTCAGTGTGGAGGCTGTTTTATATCTTCAGTGTGGAGGCTGTTTTATGTATCTTCAGTGTGGAGGCTGTTTTATGTATCTTTAGTGTGGAGGCTGTTTTATGTATCTTCAGTGTGGAGGCTGTTTTATGTATCTTCAGTGTGGAGGCTGTTTTATGTATCTTTAGTGTGGAGGCTGTTTTATATATCTTAGTGTGGAGGCTGTTTTATGTATCTTCAGTGTGGAGGCTGTTTTATGTATCTTCAGTGTGGAGGCTGTTTTATGTATCTTTAGTGTGGAGGCTGTTTTATATCTTCAGTGTGGAGGCTGTTTTATATCTTCAGTGTGGAGGCTGTTTTATGTAATCTTCAGTGTGGAGGCTGTTTTATATCTTCAGTGTGGAGGCTGTTTTATGTATATTTCAGTGTGGAGGCTGTTTTATATCTTCAGTGTGGAGGCTGTTTTATGATATCTTAGTGTGGAGGCTGTTTTATATATTTCAGTGTGGAGGCTGTTTTATATATCTTCAGTGTGGAGGCTGTTTTATGTATATTTAGTGTGGAGGCTGTTTTATATATCTTCAGTGTGGAGGCTGTTTTATGTATATTTAGTGTGGAGGCTGTTTTATATCTTCAGTGTGGAGGCTGTTTTATATCTTCAGTGTGGAGGCTGTTTTATAATCTTCAGTGTGGAGGCTGTTTTATAATCTTCAGTGTGGAGGCTGTTTTATGTATCTTAGTGTGGAGGCTGTTTTATATCTTCAGTGTGGAGGCTGTTTTATGTATCTTCAGTGTGGAGGCTGTTTTATGTATATTTAGTGTGGAGGCTGTTTTATATCTTCAGTGTGGAGGCTGTTTTATGTATATTTAGTGTGGAGGCTGTTTTATATATCTTCAGTGTGGAGGCTGTTTTATGTATATTTAGTGTGGAGGCTGTTTTATATATCTTCAGTGTGGAGGCTGTTTTATATATCTTAGTGTGGAGGCTGTTTTATATATCTTCAGTGTGGAGGCTGTTTTATATATCTTCAGTGTGGAGGCTGTTTTATAAATCTTTAGTGTGGAGGCTGTTTTATATATCTTCAGTGTGGAGGCTGTTTTATATCTTCAGTGTGGAGGCTGTTTTATATATCTTCAGTGTGGAGGCTGTTTTATATATCTTAGTGTGGAGGCTGTTTTATATATTTAGTGTGGAGGCTGTTTTATATCTTCAGTGTGGAGGCTGTTTTATGTATCTTTAGTGTGGAGGCTGTTTATATATCTTCAGTGTGGAGGCTGTTTTATATCTTAGTGTGGAGGCTGTTTTATATCTTTAGTGTGGAGGCTGTTTTATAATCTTTAGTGTGGAGGCTGTTTTATATATCTTAGTGTGGAGGCTGTTTTATATCTTTAGTGTGGAGGCTGTTTTATATATCTTCAGTGTGGAGGCTGTTTTATAAATCTTTACAGTGTGGAGGCTGTTTTATGTATCTTCAGTGTGGAGGCTGTTTTATATATCTTCAGTGTGGAGGCTGTTTTATATATCTTCAGTGTGGAGGCTGTTTTATATATCTTTAGTGTGGAGGCTGTTTTATATATCTTTAGTGTGGAGGCTGTTTTATATATCTTCAGTGTGGAGGCTGTTTTATATCTTAGTGTGGAGGCTGTTTTATATATCTTCAGTGTGGAGGCTGTTTATATATCTTAGTGTGGAGGCTGTTTTATATATCTTCAGTGTGGAGGCTGTTTTATAATCTTTAGTGTGGAGGCTGTTTTATATATCTTTAGTGTGGAGGCTGTTTTATAATCTTTAGTGTGGAGGCTGTTTTATAATCTTTAGTGTGGAGGCTGTTTTATATCTTCAGTGTGGAGGCTGTTTTATAATCTTTAGTGTGGAGGCTGTTTTATGTATTTCAGTGTGGAGGCTGTTTTATAATCTTTAGTGTGGAGGCTGTTTTATGTATCTTCAGTGTGGAGGCTGTTTTATATCTTCAGTGTGGAGGCTGTTTATGTATCTTCAGTGTGGAGGCTGTTTTATTATCTTCAGTGTGGAGGCTGTTTTATTATCTTCAGTGTGGAGGCTGTTTTATTTATCTTCAGTGTGGAGGCTGTTTTATAGATCTTCAGTGTGGAGGCTGTTTTATGTATCTTTAGTGTGGAGGCTGTTTTATATATCTTCAGTGTGGAGGCTGTTTTATGTATATTTAGTGTGGAGGCTGTTTTATATATCTTCAGTGTGGAGGCTGTTTTATAGTATCTTCAGTGTGGAGGCTGTTTTATATATCTTCAGTGTGGAGGCTGTTTTATGTATCTTCAGTGTGGAGGCTGTTTTATGTATATTTAGTGTGGAGGCTGTTTTATAGATCTTCAGTGTGGAGGCTGTTTTATATATTTAGTGTGGAGGCTGTTTTATATATCTTCAGTGTGGAGGCTGTTTTATATATCTTCAGTGTGGAGGCTGTTTTATGTATATTTAGTGTGGAGGCTGTTTTATATATCTTCAGTGTGGAGGCTGTTTTATATATTTAGTGTGGAGGCTGTTTTATATATCTTCAGTGTGGAGGCTGTTTTATATATCTTCAGTGTGGAGGCTGTTTTATGTATATTTAGTGTGGAGGCTGTTTTATATATCTTCAGTGTGGAGGCTGTTTTATGTATCTTCAGTGTGGAGGCTGTTTTATATATCTTCAGTGTGGAGGCTGTTTTATATATCTTCAGTGTGGAGGCTGTTTTATATATCTTTAGTGTGGAGGCTGTTTTATATATCTTTAGTGTGGAGGCTGTTTTATATATCTTTAGTGTGGAGGCTGTTTTATATATCTTAGTGTGGAGGCTGTTTTATATATCTTCAGTGTGGAGGCTGTTTTATAATCTTCAGTGTGGAGGCTGTTTTATATATCTTCAGTGTGGAGGCTGTTTTATATATCTTCAGTGTGGAGGCTGTTTAATAATCTTCAGTGTGGAGGCTGTTTTAATGTATCTTCAGTGTGGAGGCTGTTTATGTATCTTCAGTGTGGAGGCTGTTTAATGTATCTTCAGTGTGGAGGCTGTTTATGTATCTTCAGTGTGGAGGCTGTTTTATGTATCTTCAGTGTGGAGGCTGTTTATGTATCTTCAGTGTGGAGGCTGTTTTATGTATCTTCAGTGTGGAGGCTGTTTTATGTATCTTCAGTGTGGAGGCTGTTTTATATCTTTAGTGTGGAGGCTGTTTTATGTATCTTCAGTGTGGAGGCTGTTTAATGTATCTTCAGTGTGGAGGCTGTTTAATGTATCTTCAGTGTGGAGGCTGTTTTATGTATCTTTAGTGTGGAGGCTGTTTTATGTATCTTTAGTGTGGAGGCTGTTTTATGTATCTTCTGTGTGGAGGCTGTTTAATGTATCTTCAGTGTGGAGGCTGTTTAATGTATCTTCAGTGTGGAGGCTGTTTAATGTATCTTCAGTGTGGAGGCTGTTTAATGTATCTTCAGTGTGGAGGGTGCTGGACTGTGGCGATGCTATTTACATGCATACATCTTCGCAAAGCCTACATGCGCTGGATACTGTCTACCATGGGACACTGAGGTTTATCACCAATCTTTAAGCACTTACTCACCACTGCTCCTTCTATGTTTGGGTTGGTTGGACTGCCTTGTCTGCCCATAGACTAAACCACTGGCATATTTTTATTTATAAGGGAATTCTCGGTCTGCTTCCATCCTACCTACGGAGCTACATACTTCAAAAAAGTACAATCTTCGCTGGCAGGATTTATACCTTTTAACCATCCCTAAAACCCGTACTAAATTGGGAAAAAGTGTGTTCAAGTATGCTGCTTCCTCTTCTTGGAATCGTTTGCAAGATACTTTAAATCTTCAGGTCTTTAGGTCTTCTTAATGATCTGGAGGTGGGCATATCTAACTGTAGATGTTTTAACTGACTCGTTTTGCCCCTTTTTGATCCCTTGTTGATTATTTAGGATATATTTTGATGAATGTTTATCATATTTTGTTGTTACTTTATTTATGTTAATTGTGTGTTAAGTGTTTTATGTCTGAAACAAAGTTAATTGTTCTGCTGCCTGTCTTGGCCAGCACGCTCTTGATCTCAATGAGACTTTTCCTGGTTAAATATAGGTTAAATAAATCAATACAATATAATTCTCGTCCTTTATCATGTATGATTTGTCTTCCTGAATCAAATACTTATATAATGAATGAAAATGAGCATAGCTTGTTTGAAAAATTCTTCAACAGAGTGAACATTAACACTTAAGTGCTGTTTTGTGACCATGACACCAAAAGTTTACACCACTCAAATAACCATTTATTTCATTTTTGATATCAGATACAACAACTTGTACCACGCAGGATCCGCTCCACACACTAATGACACTAAAGAGGGTTGCTTCTGTCCTGAAGGCACCACCTTATTTAACCAGGTCTATGAAACATGTGTCTCCTCTTGTGGTAAGAGATCCTATAGAAGACAAGCTTTCATAGGGTTGTGGAATATTTCACACCAAGGCCATCAGTCAGTATCTAATGGTCTCTGTTGGAATTTCAGATTGTACAGGACCTGATGGGAAACCAAAAATGGTGAGAATTCTTCCTCTAACGTGTATTATTGTGTACAATAGCAAAGAAAAGCTGTGTGTCTGAATTGTTTGTCTGATAACCAGCCCGGTGAAACATGGACAAGTGGCTGTAAGACCTGTGTCTGCGACAAGGACTCCATGAGCGTCGAGTGTGATCTCATTCCATGCCAAACCATGCTGATCCCCGACTGCAGCGAGCCCGGCTATAAGCTAGTCACGAAGACAGACGGCTGTTGCTCGCAGTATTCATGTGGTCAGTGTTAGCTTCATAAAAGTAGATGTGTTATATAACTGAATCTTTAACACTGAACTGACTGTCGTGAATCCCCCCTCCTCTGAGTTAGTATCCATTGTCACCTCAGCTGTTACACAGTCTGTACTGAACTAGACACAACAGACAACTTCTGCAACTCTAAAGCCAGTCAATATCAGCAAGGCTTGAAAAAAAACAAGAGCAAACTGTTAGTGACTAAAAGTCTTTGAACTACACATAAAAACCATACATTCTGCTGTTAGTTTAAATTTCATCAAAATGCTCTTGGAAAACCGTCTTTCAGAATAATGCAAAGGTGACATAACTACAGGTCCACTCTGAAGCCACGTTTAACCTCTCCAAAACAAAGGGGTACTTTTGACAGACATAAATGCATACATGTATTTTGATAGTGTATTTATAAAATTGTCCTCATTTAAATGTAGATCACACTTGTACCGATGTACTTACGAGTAAGTTTATGTAAACAGAGTCTGGCTCTCAACTTATTCTAAATTTATAAATTGTTACAAAGAGTACAAATAGGTAAATGTAGGACACAGACTCATAATAATTCAATTCTCTTGTCCTGAACAGAATGTGACGCAAACATGTGTCCTATTCCAATGACCTGTCCGCTGGGCTTCGAACTGACATACACAAATGGCACCTGCTGCAAATCCTACAAGTGTGGTATGTGATTCCAAGTGTGCATCGTTCACCAGGAGTAACAGAATTTGCTGGTGGTTCATTTGTAATGAATGTTGTTTTGTTAAAGACAGTTTAACAAGTTAACATGATTACCAGGCTTCAGTCTAAGTACCTAAAGCTACTGTAAAAAAATACCAATTTTGTGTCCCGATCTCAGTGTACGTGGACAAAATGATATCCCTTATCTCTTCTCTGATCTTTTCCTGAAGGTCCTGTTTGCTTTTGTAGGTCATAAAGATGCTTCCTAATTTTAGTCTCTCTCATAACCAGCTGTGCTTCTCAGAAGAGTTCTTTAACTGAATTTTAACAGAAATTTGTTGGTACTGACTTATCCCTGTTTTTTCTTTGCAGAACCTAAAGGTGTATGTGTCTATGAAGGTACTGAGTACATGGTACGTGTACAGCTCAAAGTCAACATATAAATTAACCTATTTGTCAATGGACCAGAGGACCCCTTTATACCTTTTTAGCTATTAGCTTATTATAACCATGATGATTTAGAATGAGTTTCCTAGACTTTCAATTACATCAATTACCAATTAGTCAAATTGACTTCATGTTCACACTTCTTCACTGTGGAAATAAAGAAACAATAGATCCTCTTTTTTCTATCCAACCGATAATGGTTAAAATAAAATATTAATGTTGAAATGAGATCAAAGTTAACATAAATCAAATTAACTTTTTCAGGAAGGTCAAAAAATCCCAACACCTGGTTCACCATTAGAAACAACAACAACATCCTCACCAACACTATCTGGAACAACAGCTGGAGCTGGACAACCATCAGGAACAACAGCTGGAGCTGGACAGCCATCAGGAACAACAGCTGGAGCTGGACAACCATCAGGAATGACAGCTGGAGCTGGACAGCCATCAGGAACAACAGCTGGAGCTGGACAACCATCAGGAACAACAGCTGGAGCTGGACAACCATCAGGAACAACAGCTGGAGCTGGACAGCCATCAGGAACAACAGCTGGAGCTGGACAGCCATCAGGAACAACAGCTGGAGCTGGACAACCATCAGGAACAACAGCTGGAGCTGGACAACCATCAGGAACGACAGCTGGAGCTGGACAACCATCAGTAACAACAGCTGGAGCTGGACAGCCATCAGTAACAACAGCTGGAGCTGGACAACCATCAGGAACAACAGCTGGAGCTGGACAACCATCAGGAACGACAGCTGGAGCTGGACAACCATCAGGAACGACAGCTGGACCAGGACAACCATCAGGAACGACAGCTGGAGCTGGACAGCCATCAGGAACGACAGCTGGAGCTGGACAACCATCAGGAACGACAGCTGGAGCTGGACAGCCATCAGGAACGACAGCTGGAGCTGGACAACCATCAGGAACGACAGCTGGAGCTGGACAACCATCAGGAACGACAGCTGGAGCTGGACAGCCATCAGGAACGACAGCTGGAGCTGGACAGCCATCAGGAACGACAGCTGGAGCTGGACAACCATCAGGAACGACAGCTGGAGCTGGACAACCATCAGGAACGACAGCTGGACCAGGACAACCATCAGGAACGACAGCTGGAGCTGGACAGCCATCAGGAACGACAGCTGGAGCTGGACAACCATCAGGAACGACAGCTGGAGCTGGACAACCATCAGGAACGACAGCTGGAGCTGGACAGCCATCAGGAACGACAGCTGGAGCTGGACAACCATCAGGAACGACAGCTGGAGCTGGACAACCATCAGGAACGACAGCTGGAGCTGGACAACCATCAGGAACAACAGCTGGAGCTGGACAGCTATCAGGAACAACAGCTGGAGCTGGACAGCCTTCTGTACCTGGGCCCTGCCAGGAGTGTTTCTGTGGCCCAAAAATGGACCCAATATCCAAGCTGCAGATCATTCACTGCACACCGATTGTTTGCAACAGAACCTGCTCTGAAGTAAGCCCATTCATAGGTTTGACTTTAAAACTCACACATTTTCTACTATGTCATAGGCACTCTTAATGGAACACAATTCAGGATTATATAGTATTTTTTGTTTATGAGCAAAACAAGGCTTGAAAGAAACAACCTGACCTGAAAATCTGGGGCTACCAATCCCATTACTATTTATGGTATTATAGTGTGTGGTCATTGAAGGTTTTCTTGTCAGCAATCCAGCACCAAAGTAAAGCTCAAAGCATTGACATTGTACCTGTTGACAAGTCCTGTAAATTGCATAGTTGTTTTGCTATTTAGTAGCAAATGAAATAATATTAGTGATAACTAATAGGAAAACTCAGCAGGTCCAAACTTAAGACAAAAGTTATAAACTGTGGGTGTAAAAAGTGAATTTGCAAGATGAAGACAAAACAACTAAAAGTCAAATCAAAGTCAAAGTCAATTTGCACCAGAAAGCATGAGAAAATAGGTGAAGACAAATAGCAGTATAAAAATTGTTTGGGGTAGGGGCTCATTTCTGCATTTTCCGTGATGAACCCTTTTCTTGCATGTAAGAAAAAGGGGGGTGGAAGTTGAAGTTTGTTTTTAATTGCTAAAGATGACTTCATAAAACATAATGCTGTTGAATCCCTGAATCCCTGAATGTGCTACAACTGACAGGGAGATGTACAAACAGCAACAACAAACAAAAACAATGAATAATACAAAGTTATAGTTATAATCCCAACAGTATAAATATATTTGATATAAGATATACCCAACTATAGCAATGATAATGATGATTGATAAGCATGAACGATATTAATAGTTGCAGGGTGGAAGTCAAGCAGGTCTCTGGTAGCAGGCAGTCACCAACTATGATCTAGAGGAGCCTGCGACACTAGAGAGCACAGAAGAAAATATACATTTAGTCAGTGCATTAATATAACATTAATGCATACAGATAAATAGAGTTTTAGCCTATGGCCAAATAGTTAGGGGCTGGTCCAGGCCTGAGCTAGTCCTTACTATAAGCTTTATAAAAAAGGAAAGTTTAAAGACTTCTCTAGTGTATTTAATTGAATATAGGATGAAAAGGATTTGCAAATCATTGTATTCGGTTTTTATTTACATTTTACATAACGTCCCAACTTCATTGGAATTGGGGTTTTTACATTAAGGGTCTGTAGGTACCACGAGCAGGCCTGATAACTGAAGGCTCTACCTCCCATGGTACATTTAGAGACTGTACCACGAGCAGGCCTGATAACTGAAGGCTCTACCTCCCATAGTACATTTAGAGACTGTACCACGAGCAGGCCTGATAACTGAATGCTCTACCTCCCATAGTACATTTAGAGACTGTACCACGAGCAGGCCTGATAACTGAAGGCTCTACCTCCCATAGTACACTTAGAGACTGTATTTACCACGAGCAGGCCTGATAACTGAAGGCTCTACCTCCCATAGTACATTTAGAGACTGTACCACGAGCAGGCCTGATAACTGAAGGCTCTACCTCCCATAGCACATTTAGAGACTGTACCACGAGCAGGCCTGATAACTGAAGGCTCTACCTCCCATAGCACATTTAGAGACTGTACCACGAGCAGGCCTGATAACTGAAGGCTCTACCTCCCATAGTACATTTAGAGACTGTACCACGAGCAGGCCTGATAACTGAAGGCTCTACCTCCCATAGCACATTTAGAGACTGTACCACGAGCAGGCCTGATAACTGAAGGCTCTACCTCCCATAGCACATTTAGAGACTGTATGTACCACGAGCAGGTCTGATAACTGAAGGCTCTACCTCTCATAGCACATTTAGAGACTGTATGTACCACGAGCAGGTCTGATAACTGAAGGCTCTACCTCCCATAGCACATTTAGAGACTGTATGTACCACGAGCAGGCCTGATAACTGAAGGCTCTACCTCCCATAGTACATTTAGAGACTGTATGTACCACGAGCAGGCCTGATAACTGAAGGCTCTACCTCCCATAGTACATTTAGAGACTGTAGGTACAATGAGACCTGGGGTCTCATTTATAAAAGAGTGCATAGAATCCATACTAAAAATGTACGTGCGCCAAAAACCCGGAAATGGCGTGCGCACAAAATGATTCAGATTTATAAAACCATTCGTACGCACACCTGCACGCAATGTTCCCTTTATAAATCACGATTCACCTGGAAATGTGCGCACGTAGATTAATCCCATGTTCCGCCCTCTACACGCCCACAATCAACCATAAACGGTCAACGCAAAGCAGCTAGTGAATGAAGAAGCATACAAACGAGGGGGCGGAGCTAAGGTTTCCAGCACTGGATCACGGCCAAACCCGGAAGTTTAGAAAAAGAAACAGAACTTTCTGACCCAGAAACAGAGGAGCTTGTGAATGAAGTGAAGGATAAAATTGACATATGGATAGTTTACTGTAGCAGGAGGATCACAAACTGAAGACCAATCAGAGAGTGACACCACGTCACTGCTGCATTCACCCAATCAGAGAGTGACACCACGTCGCTGCTGCATTCACCCAATCAGAGAGTGACACCACGTCGCTGCTGCATTCACGCTGTCCTATGTGCCAAAACATCCAGCGTTCATCATTACGCGAGTATATCTACAATGTTTACATGTGTACATGTGTACATGTTTACATGTTTACATGTTTACATGTTTACATGTTTACAGGACCCACACTGTCTTCTTCATATTGTCAGAGTGCTCCCGTCAGTCAGCAGTCTGTCTCACTCTATCATATTAGTAATCAAAGGTTTGATCAACGAACAAAAACGTTTGATTGTTGGCCACATATTTTCATGGGCATCTCCGTCTGCACTGTGACTAATTATGATAAAATATATGGCTTAATGATGGTGTCAGAGATGACCTGACTTAATGTCCACACTTGAATTATTTACAGAATAAATACGTGCAGCTGATGAAGACGTGCTGAGTCTGGAGGAGGTGAAATGTGTGAAGCCACCGCCGTGTCTCTCTGTGTCTTGACGCAGTCATCTTTATTAAAACTAAAAACCACACTTGATGATAAATGCTCGATATTTAAATATATGAATGAAAACTGGAGGCTCTGTGGTCTCTGTGTTAGTCTAATGTTTAACTCTACATCAGTGATTACATTAGTGTACACGTCCGGTCCTCTGAGGTCCGTCTGGGATAATGAAGGCGAGACGGCGCTGATGAAATATGGGAAGGACTTTTATTTTATTTTTTTATTTGTTTATATATTGTCATAATGAAAGTGACTTATCAGAAACGGCTCACTACATGAGTGATTATAGCCTAAATAAAACCATCGGTTTGAATGATTCTGATGACGTGGATCTGTCAGTTTGATATTTAGTGAAATAAAATGTGTTAGAGACATCAGTATGTATCTGCAGGCTTCAATTCACCACTTCACCGTCTGTGTCGATGATTTCCCATGACTCCAAAATGTACGTCCGCCTGGGTCACAGTTTGCTTACCGGTGCGCACATTTTACCGTCAGGTTTGTTTTTATAGATCACAAACTTTGCGTGGGAAAAGGCGTACGCCAGATTCAGACCGCGTTTTGTGCGTACGCAATGGTTATAAATGAGACCCCAGATAACTGAAGGCTCTACCGCACATAGTACATTTAGAGACAGTAGGCATCACGAGCAGGCCGGCCTTCTGGGAGCGTAATGTTCTAGAAGAGTAATACAGCACTTTAGCTCTTAAAGATTTCATGGTGGACGTGTTTTTCCGTATCATTCTAAGACAGCAGTCTGCCTTTCGCTATGTTCTGTAGGTGTAAAAAGGCTTTAAAAGTTTTTTTTTTATGGCAGTTGAAGAACAACCATTGATAAAATAGTTCAGTGGCTGGAATCTGTTGGTCACCCAAGCTTTTATATGCTTAAAACATACTTTGACTTTAGTTGGCTTATTGGTTCTATATTTTTGTCTTTAATATTTATAATTAGAGAGGCACATGAAGTCACTCATATAAAACCAGAAAAGTGAATTTTTAATCTCCTAATCCCCGTCTGTCTCTAGGGTTTTGAATACCAGGAGGTACCTGACCAGTGTTGTGGGAAGTGCGTCCAGAAGAGCTGTTTCCTTGTTGCACCTGACAACACAACACATATAGTGGAGGTCAGTTTTGTCACTGTTTGAACCTATTCACATATAAAAAAGGAAAACCTTGTAAATCTATAACAAATCAATAAAACATAAATGTTTTAAATAAAAGGGGAAAGTGATAAAAAATGAAACAAAATGCCACATTGTATTGCTTTAGTATGGTAAACTGTCTTTGTCTAAAGGCCAAGTTTGATTGGCTGACCTGTCTTCTGCTCTCTCTGATAATACAGATCAACCAAACGTTTAGTCTTCCTGACAACAAGTGTGTACAGTTTGCCTGTGAGAATATCAACGGACAGCTTGTTACTAAGGAGATCAAGACTGTTTGTCCTACCTTTAACCCCTCGGACTGTGAACCTGTGAGTTAATCAAACCAGCAGCTGATACCCTTTCCCTGTCTAAACACAGATCATCCATGTCTCACTCACAAATCAAATGTGTCTTCTTCTTTCAGGGCACAGAGACAACTGACGCTAATGGATGCTGCAGAACCTGTAAGTTAGCAGAGCTGAAGTTTTTTCAATGATAACTCCAAAGTTGGAGGATAAAAATGGCGTGCCATTATTAGAATCCTTGACTGAACAGTTACTGTGTCTTCTAGGCAAGCTGCGCAGCGTCTGTGAAATCCTCAGTAAGCAGGAGGTCATCAAGGTGAACGAGTGTAAGAGCCCAAGGCCGGTCAACATGACGTACTGTGCTGGACACTGTGGAAGCATGTCCATGTGAGTCTATTCATTTCTAAATGTGGAGTTCAGTGTGATCTGTAAAATTACTAAGATGTCACTTTGTAATGATGTGCAGTTCTCTCATGAAGAAATAAGTCGCTTAATAGAAAGTGTAAAACATTTATTTTTTTTCAGTTTGCATGAAAGATGGCTTAATGCAGTCAGTTTGGGACAGTTAAAGAGTATTTGTGAAATCCTTAAAGGGGAATTCTGTAAATAGTGTCAATAGTAAACCACAGCCTGTGTAAAACTGCTCCCGTGGATCTCCTCAGCCAGCAGCTGACTCTGTTGTAGTGTCTGAAAGGTGTATTTTTCAGCCATAGACTGCTAAAATAGTTGTTTTTTATCCATCGACAGGACTAGACTGTTATGCTAAGTGTCTGAAACAGTGTCTGAGACCAGCCATGTGTGTAAGTTAAGAGTTGCTGTCTTTGTGTGTGTGCAGGTATTCTGCTGCAGCTAAAACAATGACGCATCAGTGTGAATGTTGCCAAGAAGCCACCACCAGTGAGGGGCAAGTGGATCTCGAATGTGCAGATGGCACTAAGATCCCCCACAAATACATCAAAGTGGAGAGCTGTCTGTGCAACAGAACAGAGTGTGTTGACGCTCTAATTAAACGCCGCAGGAGACGCTGATCGCTTACTCTCTGCTGACCACCGGAATGACCTTTAAAACATTATGCGAGACATAACCTTTGAACTTTTCTTGTTAGGGCTCATTATTTCAGGCCAAACTGTTTTTGGTCTTACAGCCTACTATTGTGATGTAAACTTTCTTCATTCCACTCAATATTATTAAAATAATTATCTGCAACATAAACACTGGTTTGGACATTGTTATTGACTCCTGGGAAATGAAGTTTGTTCAATAAGGGGCAGAGGAAGGTGTTGACCTTGTCACGACCAGCTCGAAAACCGCGACAAATGACCAGAGGAGACCAGGAGTTACATTTGAGCAACACACGTTTACTCACTTGACACAAACTCCAATCAAAATGATACAAGCATTAGGGAAGAGTCTCTCTCTCCAACCTCCTCCTCCAAGTCTCCCCCCAAGGAGGAAGTGGAAACAGTTTATATATGGAGGGAGGTATTTTCAATCCAGTATACAACAATATAGAGCACATCTAACCTCATCATCAATCTTTATTTAAGTTCTCGGAGAGATCATTGAGGGCGACCCTCATTTACAATGATGCTGAGAAAACATACAGAAATGATAAACAAGGAGAAATGAGATAAAGCTACCACAGAAAATAAAATCAATAGAAGAGCAATAAGAACAATAAAATATATACATTAAAATAATTTAAAAGCTTGAAATTACTACAGTGATAAGTCAGTAATTAAAATCAAATAAAACATTTACAGTCAGGTTAGGGGGCGGTTAAAAATAATATTTCTAAAGTCTCCATAAGGGTTAGGGTAAGGGTTAGGTAAGGTAGGGGGCGCAGCGTCCTCTAGGGGACGCTACGAGGGCCACGGGCACTCGGGGGACGATGGTTATTAAATATGTTTAAAAACCTTCTTAAAAACCACACCACGGTGTTTTGATAAAAGCCCTCTAAGACAGTTTTAAAATTTGGATAAAAGGGTGACCGGACCACTGCGCAGGAGAGGCAGGCGGAGCTCTTTGTTAATTAAAAGACTCCGGTGTCCCAGAGCCTCTGATGAAACCATCTGAAGAGCGTCCAGATGACGGCCACTGCTAAATAATATATTAAAAACCCTTAAAAGAAAGTAAAAGTAATAAATAAAAGGAAATACCTTAAAAGTGCCCTGAAATGAAAGAATTAAAGCCATCTTAAAAGGTCTGCATATATAAAGTGCTTAGAATAGATTAAAACACATCAAACAATAAAATAAGTGCTTTTAACAGACAAGTGCTAAAATAGTCAGAATAAAACACATACAAAACCATCAAAGTAAAATATTTATATGTGCACTCACTTATTCAAAACAGCTAAAACCCATCATTCAAATCAGAAAGGTAAGATCTTTGAAAATAAATAAATGTATAAATAAATAAAAAAATAAAGGATAAAAGTGCAATGCACCGTCATTAGACACCTCCAAGGTTTTGTTAAAAGAGATTTATTAATAAAAAATTGGTTTAAGAGGAGGACTCCCCCCCACAGAAAGGGATTGTTCTGGCAGGCCGTCAACCAACGATCTCGAGGAGCCTAAGCGAGCTCAAAAGCTCCCAGGAAAGTAGGTGGTTAGTGACTGAGATTTACAGATAGATACATGCAGTAATATGATGTATTGTATATGCACAGAGAGAGAGAGAGAGAGAGAGAGAGAGAGAGAGAGAGAGAGAGAGAGAGAGAGCTCAAGGTGCCAGTTCCCCCGGTAGTCTAAGCCTAGAGCAGCATAACTAAGAGCTGGTCTACACCAGCACTAACTATAAGATTTATCAAAAACGAAAGTTTTAAGTCTATTCTTAAAAATACAGACTGTGTCTGCCTCCCGGACCCCGGCTGGAAGGCGGTTCCAGAGGAGAGGAGCCTGATAACTGAAGGCTTTACCCCCCATAGTACACTTAGAGACTGTAGGTACCACCAGCAGGCCTGCACTCCGGGACCGCAACGCTCTCGAGGGACAGTACGGCACTAGTAGCTCCTTAAGATAAGATGGTGCCTGGCCATTTAGAGCTTTGTAGGTGAGAAGAAGGATCTTGAATTCTATTCTAGACTGTATAGGGAGCCAGTGCAGAGAAGCCAACACAGGAGTGATGTGATCCCTTTTCCTGGTTCTGGTCAGTACACGAGCTGCAGCGTTCTGGACCAGTTGAAGAGTCTTTAGAGACTTACCAGAGCACCCTGACAAAAGAGAATTACAATAATCCAATCTGGAGGTAACAAATGCATGAACTAGTTTTTCTGCATCATTTTGCGACAGGATATTCCTGATCTTAGATATATTACGAAGGTGAAAATAGGCTGTTCTTGAAACTTGCCTGATGTGAGAGCTAAAAGACATATCTTGATCAAATAGAACTCCTAGATTCCTAACAGTGGTGCTAGATGCCATGCTGATGTCATTAAGGACAGTCAAATCACTAGAAAAAGCATCTCTGAGGTTTTTAGGGCCTAGCACAATAACTTCAGTCTTGTCTGAGTTAAGTAGCAAAATATTTCTGGTCATCCAGGTCCTAACGTCCTTAAGGCACGTTTCTAGCTGACATAACTGACTGGTGCCATCGGGCTTTATTGATACATAGAGCTGTAGACGTAGATCGTTTGTAATTTTAACTAGTGCAGTCTCAGTGTTTTGGTGGACTCTAAATCCTGACTGAAACTCCTCAAATAAACTGTTGTCACAGAGAAAGTCACACAGCTGATTAGCTACCACCTTCTCCAGGATCTTTGAGATAAAAGGAAGGTTGGATATAGGCCTGTAGTTAGCTAGAGTTCCTGAATCTAGAGTAGGTTTTTTGAGTAGAGGTTTGATTACCGCTACTTTAAATGCCTGTGGTACATAGCCTGCCAGTAAAGACGAATTGATCATATCTAATATAGAGTTGCTAACTAAGGGAAAGACTTCCTTGAACAGCTTGGTTGGGATTGGGTCCAAAAGACAGGTTGACGGTTTCAACGCAGAAATAATTGAATTTAGCTCTGAAAGGTCGATTGGAGAAAAACAGTCGAGACTAATATCTGGTCCTGGAACTGTCTCTGCCGTATCAGATGTATCTGCACCAGGCAAGGGCAGGAGGTTACTAATTTTGTCTCTGATGTCTAGAATTTTTCCCTCTGAGAGGGACTAAAGCTATCATAAAAGTTTCCAACTGGGTTGAAACACGGTACTGAATCAAAAGCAGCTGAAATAGCTTCCTTAAATCTAGCCACAGCACTATCAGATAAACTTCTAGAGAGCACATTTTTATTAAGCAGAGATAATTCTGGCAGGACAAAGTCGAAAGTAATAAGGAAATGGTCTGATAGAAGAGGAGTTTCTAGGAAAACTGTAAGGTTTTGGATTTCAATGCCATAAGCTAAAACAAGATCCAGGGTGTGGTTAAAACGATGAGTAGGTTCGTTTACACCCTGGGTGAAACCAATAGAGTCTAATAATGACATGAAAGCTGTGCTCAGGCTATCATTATCAACATCCACATGGATATTGAAGTCACCTACAACAATTATTCTATCACTGCTAAGGACTAAATCTGAAAATTTCAGCAAATTCAGATAGAAACTCAGAATATGGACCAGGAGGGCGGAAAACTACAACAACTAGAACTGGCTGAAAGGTTCTTGAGACTGGATGTGAAAGACTAAGAACAAGGCTTTCAAAAGAAGAAAAATTCAGTTTTGGTCGAGGGTTAACTAGAAGACTAGAATTCAAAATAGCTGCTACTCCACCACCTCGTCCGGTGTCTCGAGGTATATGAGTACTAAAATGACTGGGAGGAGTGGATTCATTTAAACGAACATATTCATCTCGACACAGCCAGGTTTCAGTTAAACAAAGTAAATCAATATGCTGATCTGATATCAGATCATTCACTGAAAGAGATTTGGATGCTAAGGATCTAATGTTCAAAAGTCAGCAGTGACTTGGCTGGCTAACTACTGCTGCATACGATGACTCTGACTCAATGGTGCGGAGCCGTCTCTCTAACTCAGACACCCTCGCCCCCAAAGCTAAAAATAAACTACATTTCTTACATGTATCATTATCACTAAAGGAGGACGAGGAGTAACTTAACATCTGACACGAAGAGCAGGAGAGGGAGAGACAGAAAAAGAAGCCATTGTAAATAAAGCTAACTGCTAAGCTAGGCTAAGAGTAGGTAGCTAAAATAAACAAAACTGTTAAGCAGGTTTGTCGCCAGAGAGAATGAGTGCTTTTCGATTACTTCTGTTTGTCTGAACGTACAGTGTGTTGGAAACAACAGTTGTAAGAAACTAAGCAAAATGAACAATTAAGCTTTTAGCTCTAACGATCAGCACTGAACAACACAGAACAGCAGATAACAGGAAATGATGCAATACGCTCACCCTTAGCATGTAGGACGTAGCGCGTAGCGCGTAGGACGTAGCACGTAGGACGTAGGACGTAGCACGTTGCAGCTCCTACCCCTCAGCGGGACCACCTTGGCAGAAAACTAAGTGGGTGGATGGATCGATGATTGATTGATGGATGGATGGATGGATGGATGGATGATGGATGGATGGATGGATGGATGGATGGATGGATGGATGGATTGATGGATTGATGATTGATGGATTGATGGATGAATTGATGATTGATGGATGGATGGATGGATGGATGGATGGATGGATGGATGGATGGATGGATTGATGGATTGATGATTGATGGATTGATGGATGGATGGATGGATGGATGGATGGATGGATGGATTGATGATTGATGGATGGATGGATGGATGGATGGATGGATTGATTGATGATTGATGGATTGATTGATTGATCGATCGATTGATTGATTGATTGATTGATTATTGATTGATTGATGGATGGATTAATGGATTTATGGTTGGATTGATTGATTGATGGATTGATGAATGGATTGATGATTGATTGATTGATGGATGGATGGATGGATGGATGGATGGATGGATGGATTGATGGATTGATGATTGATGGATTGATGGATGAATTGATGATTGATGGATGGATGGATGGATGGATGGATGGATGGATGGATGGATTGATTGATGGATTGATGATTGATGGATGGATGGATGGATGGATGGATGGATGGATGATGATTGATGGATGGATGGATGGATGGATGGATGGATGGATTGATTGATGATTGATGGATTGATGGATGAATTGAT